AATAATAATAATATTTTTGTCATTTATTATAATTTTTTATAATTTCAAATTATCAATGGTTGGTATTAATAAAAAAATTAAATGATCAACTAATGCATACATGCAATCACCTGTTTTTTTATATATTAATACTGTACTGTATATAATAATATTAAATATTTCAATTGATTTTGCAATGCATTTCATAATTCAAGTAATGAGATTTATTACACATAAATTATATATATATATATATATATATATATATATATATATATATATATATATATATATATATATATATATATATATATGTTAGTGAACTTGTAGTTAAATATATATAWAAAAAAATTTTATCAAAAAAACACATTTCAAATGTAGACTTAAAACACATACACACAGAAACACATCATTAAATGAGAGATTATTATTATAATATTAATGATTTTTGATTCGCGTTTAAAATTTTATTTATTTATTTTTTTTGGTTGAAAAAATTAACTAAAACTAAATTTTTAACTAAAATTAAATCCATTTAACTAATCTCTCTCTCTCTCTCTCTCTCTCTCTCTCTCTCTCTCTCTCTCTTAAAAAGTTTTTTAAGTGTTTAGTTAGTTCAGGAAGAAAATAGTGTTTAGTTTTTTTTTATTTTGTTTGTTTGACTCAACAAATGAGTTAAAGAAAAATAATATTTATTTTCGTTTTTTTAAAAAATAGTTTATTATTAAAATAAAATATAATAAAAAAAGATATATTCAATTAATCTTGTTTTCAATCGTGAGCTTCAAATATAAGGAGAAATCCAATTGAAATCACGAAAAGTGTCAAACTTTTGGAGCATTAGTTTTAAAAATAATTATCTCTCTCTCTCTCTCTCTCTATCAGAAATGTGTGTATTTGTTATGCAATTTTTGTTATATAAATATATACTATATTATATATATATATGTACTCTATATATATATACTTGTAATGCATTTTTTAAATATAACAACAGTAGTAATAATAATACTAATAATAAACAATTTAATTATAATTTATATTCAATTATAATTCAAATAACAATTTTATTCTAAAAATATTTATATAAATACTATATAAGACTAATACAAATGTTATTTATAGCTTAATATTTATTTGCTGTCAAATTATCAGTAAATTAATATTATAAATATTATTACAACACTTTAATTTTATATAATATATATATTTTAGTTATTTATGACTTTAATTATTATATATTTAATATTTTTATATAAGATTTCCTGTTAGTGTTGTTAATAATAATAATAATAATAACATACGTGTGTTGTATTTAATCCTAAAATTTATTGAATAATTGAAATACTCATCAAAATACATAACACAACATTTAGTATAKATATATAAAAAAATTTATTATTATTAATGGCATTGAACTGTACAGCTGTGTGTCTATGTGTGGGGCTTASGGTACACACAAAAAAACAAACTGATTTCATGTATAGATTTGTTATTTTATTTTACTAATAAATAAACAAAAAAATTTATACATAAAATTGTTATCATTGTCTACGATATGATAGCCCGGGTGTAGGAGAGAGAGAGAGAGAGAGAGAGAGAGAGAGAGAGAGAGAGAGATATGATAGGATAGGGTTGTCATTGTTATAACATTTATGTATATATAATTTATATACAATTCAGTATATTTATATATACAGGTATATATATATATAATATAATACCGTATTTATCACATAATAATATGATAGATTAAATATAGTATTATTATTATTATTATTATCACTATTATTGCATGTTGTGATGACCCATATGTATAAATTTATATATTATTTATACTTTATATATATATACTGTATTTATAAAATAAATTTTTTTTTGTTAAAAAAAAGTCCGTATTGTAAGTATACATAACCAATAAATTGTTGGTCAGACACGCCGTTAAAGTGCATTCAACCGCATATATATATATATATATATACAGTATTTTTATTATATATACAATAATAAACGGTATTATTGGGGAAACACCTAATTTTTAAGTACCCTATCTCTCCCCAATATTATGCAATCCCAAAGTTATAGTTATTATTATAATTATTATTTTTAGTTAGAATATATTTACAATATATTATTAATATTATTGAAATTGAAATAAATAAAATTAAAAACTAAAAAATTAAAAACATTTGAAACATAATGAATTAGTTAGGTTTTAGTTTTTTTCGTTAAAAAAAGTAATTAAATATATTTTTTCGTTTTTTTATTGTTGGTTTGATTGTTAATAAATAAAAGGTGACTAAAAACAATAGTATTTTTTTCTATCTCTTAGTTTATTATAATGATTGTTAAATTGTCTTAAATACCTGTATTGTTATTATGATTATTATTATTATTATTATGATAACTGTATAACACTTACACACATTAATTATTTTTTTWAAAAATTTTTAGTTTGTTGTTGTACTGTATCTTATTGACCAAAATCATGTAGATTACAATTATCTGTATATTTATTTTATTTTATTTTTTTTTGTTGATAGAAATAATAAGTAAAATATAACAATCTATATATCATAGAAATAATGAAAATAATAATTAAAAAAATAACTATATTTTTTGTTGTAATTTTTTATATATTGTATATCATATGTATAGCAATTCCTAATGAATCATAAAATATAATAATTAACTTATTATACAAACTTTTTTTTGCTTACAYATAAAAAAAATGAAATTACATATTAAGAAAATTTTTTTTAGATACAAATAAAAACTATTTGAAAATTATTATTATTATTATATTATGTAAAAATCTGGAGTAATTGGCGTAAAATTTTCACATTTATTTTTGTTGTGTTGTTATCAAAATATAAAAAAAGCTCATCAATAATAATATAAAAATTAGGTGATTATTTAGTGATGATATTTGCAATTTTTTGTGTGTGTTTTATAATATCTCTATTGTTATCTCTCTYTCTCTCTCTCTCTCTAAAAAAATTTGATTTATTTTTACTATTATTCAATAGGACTATAYATATATCATATATATATCATACTGATAATCATACAATTATTATTGTATTTTTTTAACAGTCAATAATAATAATATTTATAAATTTTTGTTGTTGACTGATTTGTGTAGTCTAATTTATTATRTATTGTATTATACTGTATTTTATATTAGATATATATTATATGATTTTTTTCATAGCAAATAAAATTCACAACAATTTATTTTTTTGGTTATTTGTCACAAAATTGGGAATCAAATTGTTAGTGTGTTTTTGACAGTGAAATATATATATATATATCTATAAAATCATAATATATACAGTATATTGTGTTTTACTAATTTGTTTTATTATTATTATTATTATTATTTGTTATACAATTCAAGTACAGTATAATAATAATAATAATGAAAAAAGTGATATTAAAGGGAAAATTTTCTCCTAAATAAAATTTATTTTTTAATATACAGTATATATAWWTTATTATATACTGTAATATACTGTACAAGTGATCTAAATATTCAATAGTGTCAAATTAAATGTGAAAATATTTAGTATATATATATATTTTCACGAAAAAAGATATAAATATATTTTTTTATTCAATAATTCACATGATTTTGACAAAAATCTAATTTTATCTATTATTACAGTATTAGTAATATTAATAATTTTAGGATTACTAGGCATTATTGATTGATAAAATCAAAATCAAAAATTATTATTATTATTATTATATATATAATACTCTCTCACATATGTATTGTATAATAAATTTGTGAAAACATAATTTTTTTGATGATATTTATTTTATTATTTTTTGTTATTTTAAATATATACATATTCAACAAAAAAAATATATTTATTATTATTATTTTTTTGTTTGTTTGTAAAAATCTAAGTCATGTCTTCAAACAAAACAAAATTATATTTATATATACTGTATATTAAAGATATTATATACATATATATATACTGTATATAAGAGTCGATAGCAATGAGAGATAAACTTAACTATACTGTTGTGTTATAAATAGGTTAACCGTAAGCGCCATAAGTTTTTTCACGTAATATTTTTTTTAGTCATAGAGAGAGAGAGAGAGAGAGAGAGATCTGTTTTTAATTTTTTTTTGTTTCAGAGAACCCGATGCTAATTATAGCCATGTATTTAAACTTTACATATAATATATAATTTTATATACTGTATATATATAGCTAAACAGTCACATTTATACACACATACCTGTAAACAGTACTAATTTATATATACTTATATATATATATATATATATATATAGTTAGTAAATAGTTTAGTTATTTTTTTTCTTAATAAATTTTATTTTCCATATGAAAATTGTGTGATTATTGTTTACACTATTATCTAATAATAATACTATACACACAGTGTTACCTATTTGGGACACCCGCCTCTAACTATTAGACCCCCCTAAAGCTTTACTACTATCACTACTACTACTACTACTACTACTCCCTAACTCTACATAATTTTTTTTTAAAGACATTGATTTGCATTATAATGTAATCTATTTTGAGGTAAGAGAGAGAGAGAGAGAGAGAGATTTAAAGGCCTTTTTTAAAACACACTGGGATTACAAGTTATGCCTAAAACTATATATTAAATTCATAGCGCTATTAGCGCTGAATTTAATAACACAAATATTAATATTAATAATAATAATACCATTAGTATAGTAAATGAGTCTCTCTCTCTCTCTCTCTCTCTCTCTCTCTCTCTCTCTCTCTCTCTCTCTCTCTCTCTCTCTCTCTCTCTCTCTCTCTCTCTGTCTATTTAAACACACTTTTCTAAAAAAACCATTAATTATCTCAAAAAATGATATATATATATATACACAGTATATTCTGTATATAAATATAAACTATTATTATTATTAAGATTATTATATATATATTTGTTAGATTATTTATACAGTAGTTTTCTCTATTAAATTAAATTTATTTAAATTTTTTGTGTTTTTATTATTTTAGGCGATATTTCATACATTGAGACATCGGTAGTAAATCAAACCCAATTCACACCGTTATCGGAGGCACTGTGCAAATGCGTTAATGAACTTAATGTTAGACATATTAGGGCCACATTTGATCTAATTGTTAGACGATTGCAACAGGAGTTCCCAAATATGGAACTACCGGCCGATAAAGTGCTGAAACAATCGCTGAAATCGTTGGTCCAAAACAAGAAACTCTTCTACGATATACATAGCGATTGTTTTACAGCATTGGCGCCGACCTATCGTTACGATGGCGGCGGTGGCGGTGGTGTTGGTGGCGGTGGTGGTAACAACTCGATTGAAGACTTGGAAAGTCTTGAAATGCAAAAGCATATGTTGGTTACCGGTGAGGAAGCGTTTACCCGATTGCATGGGAAGTCTGGATCGACACATTGCGGTGGCGGYGGCGGCGGTTCAGAGGAGAGYTCCAGCAAGAAGTCGTGGGCTACTCCGCAGCCGACCGTTATCGGCGGCGATGATTATCATCGAAAACGATTGTCGTTGGCCTCGGCCACCATCACTACCAACAATAATTCGGTTAGTTTGCAGCAAAAGTCCAATACATTATCGGACGGCAAACGACAATCACCACAACAACAACAACAACARCAGCAGAAGTCAAGTTTACCACTGAGTTCATCGTTAAGAAGAAGTGCTTCYCTGAGACTGGAATCAAACAAAAACAAATCGGTCAACAACTATACGGATCAATCGTCGCCGTCGCCGACGCCGAGAATGTCGGCAACATTCAAACGAAGCCGTAGTTTCAAACTTAGCCGCAAAAAACATGAACTCTTCGAACCAAATGTTGTCGAATCGTTGAGCACTTCCACCACTGCTTCGGAGTCGACCACAACCACATCGGACAGCTATAAGAGCAATAAAGACGATACACACCACAGAAGTAAGTGTTTTGTTTGTTGGGGGCGAAAAAAAGTTTTTGTTTTTTAATTAAAATAATTTTTTTCTAACTTATAATTAACTAAAAAAAATTTTTTCAGAGCAATCGGTTTTAAGCAAATTTCTACGATTGGGTAGTCATAGTGGCGGTGGCAGTGGTACGGCCAACACATCCAAATCATCGACGCCGGCGGCCAAATCGTCGACCAATTTTTCGGCTCAATTTCCCGAATTTAATCACCAATCATACAATAGTCATCTAAACGGTTACAATCAATACTACTACAACAACAACAAYAACGGTGCCATTGTTTCATACAATAATGATCACCTGATGATGATTACCGAAACCAAATCCAARGGTACGCAAACAATAAAATGCGGACCCGAAGACTATACGGTTATCATCAAACAGGCCAGYCGTCATGCACTGGCCAAAAATAATAATAATAATAATGGTGGTTCCCATAATCATCATCATCATAGTAAGCATACTAATCATAAAGATAATGGTGCTAATAATGGTGCTAATCATCATCATAAGGATAAACATAATCGCTGTAATTGTTTAGATAATAGTATGAATAATAATAATAATAATATAAATAATAGAGACCTAACCACTAATGGTAAGCATCATAATCATCATCAGCCAAGAGTTAATGGCAACAACAACAACAAGTCATTAGCGTCTAAATGCAAATATTATGGCAACAAATTAGAGCTGATGCCCATCGCTACCACCACTAACAATACCAGTGCCATCATCAACAACAACAACAACACTAATAGTGCCACTCCTATAACCACTAGCAGTAGTATCGCTCCCATCATCACTACTAATACTGGTAACTCCTCAGCGGCTTCTCCTACTATAACTAATATAGACGACTGTTTTATCTGTACGTGTAATTGCAACTGTTATCCAMCAACAACAACAACAGCAACTGAGCTAATCAGCCATCAGTTGATCAATGATGTTCATCATCAGCAACAACAACAGCAACAACTAAAACACGACATCACTAATAACAGTCACATTAATCAGACTAATAATAATAATACTAATTATTGGTCTAAATCTAATCAACAATTTCACAGACAAGTCAATAATAGCACCAATAGATATGATCACAAACAGCCAATTAAGTCGACAACGACAACAACAAATGATGGATTAATAAATGGTAATTGCGATCAAAGGAGAACAACAGCCTATAATATGAGAAGCAATTATAGAGGAGACCATCGACTGGTAGATGAGGTACAACAACATCAACAACAAGTGCCTGGGGTTCAGCTAAAAGACTATCAACTTATAGATGTTGTCAACCCGTCATCATCATCGTCATCATCAGCAGCAGTAGCAGCTCAGACACGCCAACAACAATTGGCAACTAATTACAGCCACAACAACATCAACAACAACACCAACAATCCCATCGACAATAACAACAACGGATCTAAAGATAGAGATAATAATAATAAAAGTCCATTACTTGTGAATAAATTTAATAATAATACTAATCGTAATACAAATAATAATAATAATCAAAGTTTTTATTTGCGTAATAATAATAATAATGGGTTTACATCATCGGATAAACCATTATTAGTCAATAAATATTTAATGAATGGGAATACTACTACTAATAATCATAATAATAATAATGTTACTATTGGTGGATCAGCTGATGGTGGTAACAACAGTTCAGTCAATGTCAGAATAGAGACGACCACCACTACGAAAGTGGAGGACGACGGGGACGACAACGATGATCAACAACAAGGGGTTAGTTATGGGAAATCAACAGCGATTGGCAATAATAGTCACGAAAACAGGAGTCACCAAACATCCAGTACCACCACCACCACATCCAAAGTGGTCACCAATAATACTACGGTATTATCTAATGGCACGCATAGTGGTGTTGGTGATGGTGGTGTTGGCGCCGGTGACTATGAACTCATGGATCCCAAGCAACACCCGATCCTAACAGCTGCCACTACAGTCACGACAACTATGACTTTGCCCAATGATTACACAAACAATGGTTATAGTAATCATAATCATAATAATAATGATATTAATATTAATGGTATGCGTGTTAGTAGCAATGGTAGCCATAATAAGATTGATTGGATAGATAGTAGTGTCAATGACACTCAAACAATAATAGCCGATGGTATCAAAACTATACGACTGGCCAACAATAATAATAATAATAATAATGACAACAATAATAGACAACAAACTAATCGTCACCACCTAAATGATAAACTGATGGTCAAATCGGTACCGCATTTGAGTCCTATTCGCCAAAAAGTGGCCAAAGCTAAGGCCGAGTTTTTCAACTCGACTACCCCTCAAACCCCGGTCACCAAACATCGGTCACTAAACTATTAATTATTATTTACTACTACTACTACTAATACATACATATAATATATTCAAAAAAATATATAATTATCTTAACAAACACAGCATATATTTTTTTATAAAAAAAAGTAATGATATAAACTAATAATAAAAATAATATAATTTAGTCTTTAATAATAATAATTATTATAATAAAATAAAATTTTTTAAAAAAAAACTTGTATTCGTATGCCATTTGCAAACGTATAGACAAGTTGTTCAACAATTTATTTTTTTGCCCTTTAATTTGCATTAATAATGATATTAATAATAATAATAATACTTTATTTTTTTTTAAAAATGTTTATTTCTTTTAACTCTTTATTATTATTAGTATTATTTCTAACTTCTATTACTACTACTATTACTAATTGATGTATTTATTTTTGGGGTCTTAATAATTATTTACTACAACAACTACTACTACTACTACTAACTATTAAATGACAACTAAATTATTATTATTTTAATTTCAAAACAAAATAAATAATAAAATTATTTTTTGAAAATAATAACAAAAAAAAATTCTTCTCTTCTTTCGTTTTTCCGAAAGATTTGGTGAAAGAATTCTCTCTCTCTCTCTCTCTCTCTCTCTCTCTCTCTCTCTCTCTCTCTCTCTCTCTCTCTTTCTGTATATCTTTTTGCAAATAAAAATTATTAAAGAAAACAAAACTTAAATATAATTTTTTTTCTTATCAAAAAATGTTAGTTTTTTTTGTTATTGTAATTAACTAATTAATTGATTATTATTATAGTATATATAAATTTATAATACAATATATATAAATGTTTTTATGAATTTTATGTAAAACTAAAACTATATATATTTATCTATATATAAAACTAAACTATGTTAATGATTAGTGCCAAAAAAAAATATTATAGATTATATGATGATTTATACATATATATATAGTTATTGTTATATTTGTTGACTTTTTTTTGAATAAAAAATAATAAAATAAATAAATAAAAATAGTGTTTTGTATATTATTTGCTTAATAAAAATTATAGCTTTTAACTAACTAAATAAATATTATATTATATGTAAATATATTTATATGCAATATTATTAATTTTTAACATCTAGTATTTTATTTGCCTATAATAGTATTGTAATATTTTTTAATAACAAATAATAATAATAATATAATATTCAATTTTTTAATGAATCACATTATTACAACACAATATATATTTTTTTAAATATAATTGATGTATAATTAATAACTAAATCCTTCAATGATTATGTATTTATTGTTATTATTATTTGTATTTCRTGTAATAAATTAAAGTAAAAACTAATTATTAAATGGCATATATTTTTTTCAATCTCTCTCTCTCTCTCTCTCTCTCTCTCTCTCTCTCTCTCTCACTATCTCTATAATAATCTTAACAATCAAATTGATGATTATTGTGTGTTTATCTAAAATTAAATCAAATAAAGTCGTTAATGTAATTTTCACATACACTTACACACACACACACACACACACACATACATATATATATATATATATATATATATATATATACATACATATATATACACACATACATATATACATACATACATACATTCAAAACCTAAATTTTTTAATATATATATATTTATTTATTTATTTATAGCATTTTGACTCTTCAAGTCTAATAAATCGTCAATAAATTGAATGATAGTTAAAAATAATAATTATTATTATTATTGTGTGAATATTATTTTGTTGTTTTTGTTGATTATATTGATAAATATAATATTAAGTATTAATATTAAGCAATTGATAATACAATTGAATGAACAAAAATTATTAATATTTCCAATAAAAAACAAATTAAATTTATTTTATATATATATATATATCCATAACTTTTTGTTTGTTTTTTGTTTTGAWAGTCAAACTATATTTAAGGAAATTTAAGTAATTTTTTTAAGTTTATTTTTTCTCTTTTTTTAATTATTTAATTTTGACTGATTATATCTGGAGAGGAAAATAATATTTAATAATTTTATATTGATATTGAAAAAAAAGTTATTGCTTTATAAAAATTTTATATCATTTATTATTATTATTATTATTATTATTATTTTTATTAACTAGTTTTTATTTGTAAGATAATAGTTAATTTAGTATTTTATTTTTATTATTAATAGTAGTATTATTTACAATAAATATATTAATAGTAWTTCTAATAATATAATACTAWATAAATAAATAAATAAATAAAATTATTTATACTGTATATATATATATTCATTATAAGTCATAAAATTTGTTTGTTTGTTGTTATCATTGTATGATATTATTATAAATGTCAAGTAATTTTTAAGTAAATTACTATAAAAAAAAAAATTTTTTTATATAATATTTGGTATCTTTTGTAAATAAACTTAAATACATCAACAAAATAAAAATTATTGTTGTCTTTGAAAAACAAAAAACAAAACAAACAAAATAATCCCMAAAAAAAAWTTTTTTCATTGATTTCTCAATCAGTTCCAGTAGTTATAGTTATATTATGTGTTTGTATTGTTGTAATAACTACTCTACTATTACACATAAACTTATATATAAATAATAATAATAATAATAATAATATAAAAAGACATTATTATTTGAAATTCAAGTAAATTATTAACTGATTTTTAAAATAAGAAAATTTAAAACTTTTTTATTTGWCATTAAATTTCTAAGATATATATATATATTAATWCTCTATTTAGATATAKATATAKATATACAGTATATATATATATATATATWTTTTTATTTGAAGTAAATTATATATGAATTAAACATTTTAAAAATTAATTTTTTTATTAAGCAATTGATATTAAGATATCAGATATGATAGATATATATATGATAAATTAATGTAATATATTATTGATACATATGCTATCAATAAAAAATGATAAATATCTATACTGTATATATAAATTAATCAGAAAATTTATAAAATTTACAAAAAAAATAAATTTCAATAACAATTGTCTGAGCAAATTGATGGGCATATCGTCTCAATGTTTAAGACATATGTCAATCAATAACTATAAATCATTACAGAATTTTATAAAATTATTTAAAATAGTATTTTTTTCAAAAAAAAAGTTTTTAATAAGAAAATAATTATCATATTATACATTATTAATATATATGATATATAGAGTTATTGATAAAACTACAATATATATACAACAAAAAAATGTTAATTTATTAATGTATTGTATGTACTGTATATATAAATTTATATAAATTAATAATTGGTACAGTATTTTGTATAATAATAATAAAATACACTATAATTTACTTTAAAAAAAATCATCAATGATTGAACTTAAATACATAACAAAAAAATATATTATATGATTATATAATATTAATTCATATAAAACTATAGCACATGTAAATATAATATCGTTACATAAATTTATTTATTTTTTTAAATATTCATTATAAACTATATATATATATATATAAGTTATATGTATATGAATTGATATCATAAATAAGTACAAGTAATTATGTATTGAGAATTTTGATGTTAATAATAATAATGTAGAAAAAAATAGTAGTATTTTTGTGTGTGTTCTCAATATATATATATATATTTGTATGTATACTATATATATATGATATAAGTATATAATAATAAATTTCTAACAAAATTTCATATTCAGTGTTGTACTCAATATATATAAAAACAAAACAACAACAAAATCACTATTTAAAACTAAAACTACTTATAAGTGTATTAGTATTAGTATATGAAAGAGGAATATCCCATCCCTAACCCTAACCTCAATATTATATACAGAAAATTATTATGTATTTTATTATTCATAAAAAAAATAATAATAATAATATAATATATAAATTATATTTTCGTTTGTAATATTATAATGAAAATAATAATAATAATAATAATCTTTATTTTAATAAGCCTATTAAATTATAATGTTTAGATAAACCATTTTTTTGTTTGTTATGTTTAGTTTTGTTATGTTAGCTATTTATTTATTTTATTTATTTATTTATTATTATGTATGCAATATATATTGTATGTTATTGATCTGTACATGTTTTTGTCTATCAATATATTTATTGTATTTTATTATTATTATTTTTTATGATATTTACATATATATCTATAGAAATTTATTTTTGTTGAAAATTGAAAACATTTTAAATCATTTTAAATGAAACCATATATGTATATATATAATTTATAGATAGATATTCCTAAATGTTTAACCATTAAAACAACTTTTAATTTAAAAGTACTAACAATACAGTACATTATAATAATAATAATAAAATATATAAATTATTATTACAACTATTTTATAATAACTATGATGCTATCGGTATATATATATATATATTTATATATTATTTTTCATTTCATTGCCTAAATGTAAATTTCGGCAAAAAAAATATTAACAAATAATTATACAAAATATATTCATATTGATATAAAAAAAATATTTAGATATTTTTAGAAATCTAAATAATAAATATTTAAATTTTTAAAAAATTTTTGTTTAGTATGATTATAAAAAAAATTTATTATGTATTATAAATATATATATACCTATGATATTTAATGAGACACTTAATATCGATATAAATCATATTTCAATTATAAAAGGCTAAGATTTTTGTTGTTATTGTTGTTTATTGTATGGAAAAAAATTATATATAAATTATTTAGCGAAAAAAAATAAATTATTAATATAAATTTATGTCTGCCCCGAAAATATAGACAATTAAATTATTATTATTTATTTTCATTAAATAAAAAAAAATTCAATAATAAATTTAGACGCCTATTCAATTTAGAGAGCTATTTGTTTTTTTTGGGATAATTTATTATATTTTCTGGACATTAAAATTAATATCAAAAAATTAAATATCAAATTTAAGTAAAACAATAATGATTTATTTTTTAATTAAAATAATAAATAACACACACTGAAAACTTTCGCCTATGATTTTTAGTGCCAAAATAATATTATAAATTAAATAATATATTTATTATTATAAATTATTGTAAATTATATACAGTATATAAATACTAGGGAACGGTTAGGTAATGTTGTTTTTTTTGGTGTTGGTGTTATAGATGAGCTCTCAAATGTTTTATCTCAATTAATATACCAGTATTTACAGTATATATATATATATAKATAGTTGTTTAGTAGGGTTGTCTCCATCTGTCTATTACTTGATGCCAGTGATGGCAAACCTGAGAGAGAGAGAGAGAGAGAGAGAGAGAGAGAGAGAGAGAGAGAGAGAGAGAGAGAGAGAGAGAGAGAGAGAGAGAGAGAGAGAGAGAGATATATATATATATGCCATGAATTTATATGCCAAACCTTATTATGCAATAATAATACACTTCATTGACGTAATGGATAATACTATTTATATATATATATACTATATATATATATATATATATATATGTTTAATAAAAAATAAATAATATATAATATATTTTTAGCTGAAAAACTGGTCATTGAATACACGCCAGATGTGATGACTCAACAAAACAACATTAAATGACTTCATTTTTTTAATGATTTTTAAAAAACAGTATTTAACTAACCATTCCTTTTAAAATAAAAAAGTTTTTTTTTATTAATTATTATTATACCGACAAACATATGGACCGAAACCCAGACACCCAACAGGAGCACCACCACCAACACAACCACCAGCCCTTCCCATACAACATCATATTACGAGTGCCGGCATTAACCGCACAAAACATATACTCTTATTATTTGCCGCTAAACGGTTGTATCAGTTATTATGCCTTTTCGGTACACTGTTCACTACCCGGCGGACTGTTTCGGTAAATAGATTAATCATTTTTTTAAAAAAATAACCAAACAATATATAAATAAATTTAAAAAATATATATCGGCACTACCCTCCCCGTCCCCTATTCCCCCCGTAATTAGCTTACTACCCAATAGCGGGCTCCGGGTGGTCAACTGTCTACTATTTAACTCGCACATCGGTATCGGTTTATATCTATACATGAGTGGCCATATGCGGCAACTTCAGCCATATTATCGTATAATGTTCAGTGCATTCGGTTCGGTAATGTTTAACTTTGGATCGATAATGTTCTGGTCGCTGACCGCAAAGTCGATGTCGACAGTGATGGCGGTGACGGGTGATGCTGACCATAGACCATGGCTTAGAGTATTATTTGCATTGATCGCAGCGTACAGTTTTCAAACAATAGGCAAAGAATATGTTGATATTGTAAATAAAAAATTTATTTAATTGAAACCAAAAAAAAAATATATTATTTACCGGTATATCCAACAACAATAGCAACAATAAGAAAATATTGTCCATAAAAAAATTAAAAAAAAAACTTAATCTAACTTTTTGTTGTTGATATCATTATAATCAGAAAAATCATTATTATTTGTTAAAACAGTATTTAAATTATTTTTATCATTAGTTTCGTATAATTTATCGTCAAATAGTTGTTGCGATGGCGGCGGCTGTTGCGGCACCGGTACGTCGTGATTATGTGTAGCGGTTGCCGCTGTTTGCACGTGTATCACAATTTTTCGGGGAAACCATCCGCGCTCTCGCCGATGATTATGATTATTATTATGATGGCCACCAATGATTGGTGTTCTTGGGTTAACCACTTTTTCGCCGTACATCCAATGATTCTTACATCGGGTTACTAGTATATGATCGCCAGTGGTTACCTTGATTCGGGGTTCGTCCGACATTGGAAATGCTAGACAGATGCGACATCCCTGCGAAAACAGTGGAAACCAGTGGCCATTGTAGCCGGCAATGGCCCGAAAAGTGGCCGAACGGTTACGTTTTTCTTCTTTTTGTAGCAACTGTTCCACCTATTGATAAACACATATATAAAAACAAATAAAAATAAAAAAAAATCAATGAAAAATAAAATATAATATAAGAGTAAAACAAAACAATCAATAACTAAAGGGGAAGAAAAAAAAATTTTTGATAAATTAATTAAGCAATAAATCGATTTGAAATATTATTTAGTATTTATAATATAACAATAATAAAAAATAAAAGATTAAATATTAAATGGCAATCAAAAATCAATTTTGAAATGAGTTGAATAATTGCCGATAAAAGATAACATTTTATTTTTATTTTCAATTTTTTGTTGAATTATTTTATTTTCTATGAAACAAAACTATATACAGTATATATAAAATAAAAATATTATAATAAAAAAATATATACAAAGATTGCTTCATCTCATCTTCTCATTAATCAATTTAAATGAATAATTATTTTAAATTAATTATTAATAAACAAAAAAAAAACAAACAAACAAACATACGGTAAGTGTGTATTGATCGCAGCCATCGATTACTGGCCAACTGATCCCGTTATCAATTGATCCGAACAACACTTGTCTGATATTACGCCAGACGCCCAGATTATATGGATAGACAAACTGGTCACCACTTCTTCCTCCTCCTCGTCTAGACTTGGCTTTCGTTACAATCCATTCCTCAATACTTGTCTCGTTTTTTACTAATATCTTTAACTAAAATGATTAAAAAAAAAATTAATTAATAAAAAAAACGTTAAGTTAATCCCTTTTTTTTTGTTGATAATTACTTGTAGGATAAGTAGTCCGCCGACAGCTATGATTACTCCCAGTGCGAGACCAATACTAAAGACACCAAACAATAGCGATGTCATTGTTATGTATACTAAACGATCACTTCTTTCGTTATATAAGAACCAGTTCTGTGAGTGAAGACAATGGGATCAATTGAATTGATTTTTTTTTGTTAATTCATTCAAAAATGAAAACAAACAAACAAAAAATTATCTATAAATATACTCTATATTTAATAGTAATTATGTCATTAATTTTATTTATTTTTTTGGAGATACATACTCATCAAAAAAAAAATAAAAATAMATATAAATTATAAAAATAAAAAATAATTAAAATCCTTAAATAAAAAATTTATTGATAACTAACAGCTGAAGAAAACTAGTTTATGTAAAATAAAAATAAAATTATTTTTTTTAATAATAATATATTAATACTTAACATAAAAAAACTATATTACGATATATTTAAGATAACTTCAGGTGAGGTCACTATTAAATGAACATTAAGTATACAAATCTATTGAAAATACTAAATAGTTTTTTTTAATTATCAATAAAGAGATGACATATACTATATATATATATATATTAAATATAAAAAAACGTTTGGATCACTGGATTGGATCYAATCCAGTGATGACCATCACAAACATATATATAAAGACAAAGAGAGAGAGAGAGAGAGAGAGAGAGAGAGAGAGAGAATGGCAGCCAAACAACCAATACATACCCAATAGAAAGCTCTGTATAAACCGATCGACAACAAGACAATCGACTGAATGGATCCCAAGACAGCTGATCCGAGAAATAAGATAAAATAGCATTGATTACGATAGCCGGTACAGTTGTTAATCCATGGACAGTGATGGTCCATCTTGAGTACGCAACGGTCGCAACGTCTGCAGTGATGACTTCGCGGCGGTTTATAACCCCGRCATTGATGGCAGTACTGAAGCAATTGGCAATCGCTTGGGTCGGCCGGTTGCCAGCCTTTCGGTACCTGACCGGGTCCGGTAAACACAGCGCTGAAGAAATTATAGAAAGTGGTGGCAATCAGCGTATAGTACATCATATAGTTGAACAATGCCCACAACGAATCGGTTGCCCGAAGCCATTGGCCGGTCAGATAAAGTGTGGTAAATACGACACATTTGATGATCGATAGGGCAATCAATGGTCCGAAATGTATGACACGAAGTAACGGTGCAATCATCGTTGGTAACCAATCAATGATCCACCAGTTGAACCATCAGATGGATGGATGGATCTAATGGATGGTAATGACAAGCGTGTGTGAAGAAGTGTTGGTCGACACACCCACCGGTGATGAAGTTTTCAGTGAAATCGACGACTGATTTTGTCCACACTTTTCTCTCAAAGGAAGAACTTCTTTGGTTTTTTTGTGGTTAGAATTAATGGTAATATAAGATCATATCAATTGAAACCAAAACAAAAATATTGTGATCAGTTTGGATCAGTTCAAGTGACAGACAAAAACTTCAATATCCATGACATCTATGTATGTGTTGTTTGAAATGTTATTATAATTTCTATTGTTTTTATGTTTGTTTTGTTTGTTTGGATACATGTTTACAGTGCAACACATATGACACTAGAGTTTTAAAAAAAAACATTTTATTAATATATAAAACATTTTCATATTACAAACATAACGTACAATACTATTGTTAATAATAAAAAATATATATTATTTTTTTTTTGAATCAATGAAATGATAAATTAATTAAATCATATAATTTAAAATTTAATTAATTATAATATGATTTAATAAACTAATATATATATATAATATTATTAGTAATACATAATTATTATTATTATTATTATAATTAATCCTAAACTTATTGTCTATAATAATGTATTAACAAAACATAACAACACACAGTACTTATGGTTTTAGTATTATATGATTAAACAAACAAAACAAACAAAAAATTTTTTGTATGAATTTTAACGTTTAAAAACACATTAATAATAATAATAATAATAATAATAATAATAATAATAATAATAATAATAATAATAATAATAATAATAATAATAATAATAATAATAATAATAATAATAATAATAATAATAATAATAATAATAATAATAATAAATAAATAAAAATACAGTTTATTATAGAAAATGTTTATTTAGTTTTGTTTTGTTTGTGTTTGTGTTTGACATTTAAAATGTAAACTAATGTTAAATCTATTAATTATAATAGCATTCAGTGAACCAATTGATGAAATATAAGACAAAAAACAAAAAAGTTATCACCAATTGATTCAATTGATTTGATTTGATGGCAGATCTAAACATCAATAGTATTAGTAGTATTAGTAGTAGTAGTGGTGGTCATCACAAAGATTTGTTGTCGTCGTCATCATTGTCTTCATTGTCAAAGATTATTGTCAAACCTAGCGGTTAGTGTCTTTGAGAAATTGATGTCCAAATCGGTGTCTGATATTCATTATAAATGTCTTTCAATTTTTTGTTTGTTTGTATTTCGTTACCATTGATGTCGTCGTCGTCTTCGTCTTCATCGTCTTCATCATCATTGTTGGCCATACCTTACCATTGTTACGACGACCGCCGCCACCACCAGACAAAGTCGCCGCCGCCGCCGCCACCACTGCCGCCGCCAATGATTTGGCTATTGATATGAATAAATTGAAACAATTGGTTAAACAAGAATCAGATCTCAAGAGTCAATATAATTCATTGCAAAAAGGTTTTTATTTTTATTTTTTTGTTGAACACATATCTGATCCATGATATCATGTCTTTTTGATTGATTGATTGATTGATTGATTGATCCAATAATTCAATTCAATTCAATTGTAAAATTAGATCTTCATTTACAACGAGTAAAGAATTTACGCGAAGTATCCGATAAACTCAAAGAAGACGTCTGGAAGTATCCGACTGTTGAATCACTTCTTGGCCTTTAATTATTTAATTGTTGTTTTTTAAAAAAATCAATTACCAATTGTTTAAGATATCTCTCTCTCTCTGTCTATCAATTGATACTATCATTTTGTGTKTGCGTGCTGTGTTTGTGGACATCAATTACCCACTTCTTGTACAACAAACATCATATCTTTATCTCTCTCTCTCTCYCWAAAAACTCTTKAAGAAGACAATGGCATCTGAAGGCGACATAGTATTGAGCTATTATGACACTTGTTTGCGTACATCGGAAGTGAATCTACTAAAAGGAAACAAATGGCTTAACGATAATGTTATCGGCTTCTGGTTTGACTATCTCGAGAACGATCTCTACAGCGATGTCAGCGATCATATAGCCTTCTTGTCGCCAAATGTCGTCCATTTTATCAAATCTTCGGGCAATAAACACAATACCGAAGCTGTTGCCGAAATGTTAGCCTCGATGGTGTTACCCGACAAACAATTGGTTCTAATACCGGTCAACGATTCCAGTGTTTACCAGAAGGAGACCAGCGGCAGCCACTGGAGTCTATTGGTCTTTAATAAACACCGACAATCGTTTGAACACTACGACAGCCATACGGGTAGTATTAATCGATCGCATGCCGAACACATTGTATCGATATTGACGCCAATAGTGATGGCCGGCAACGGCGACGGCGGCAATCAGAAACCTCCGGCCGCCGATCTTGAGCTGGATCTGCAAGAGATGGAGTGTACACAACAGGACAACAACTATGACTGCGGTGTACATCTCATATGTAATGCCGAAGCTGTCTGTCGTCGACTGTTTCGTTCAGATAGTCGACACATTTGCGAAATTTGTTCGCCAAAAGCCATTGCAAAAGCCAGACGCGATTTATTACAACTGATAGTATCGCTGGCAAAAGGGACACATAATTCAAAAAAATGATTTAATTTTTATTAATTAATTAACTAATTAATTAATTATATATTTATTAACTTTAATTTAGTTAATTAATTAATAGTTTCTTTAATAATTTCTTGTTTTGTGAATATTTCTTTTTATTTAAATATATATAATTTATAATAATATGCATTATATAGTATATATATATATAAATTTATATATATATTTTTAACACAATTTAAAAATATTAGATTTAATTAACTTTTATTATCACTTTTATTGATCCTAAGTGTGTGTTACAAGTGTGTGTGCGTACAGTAGTTATGTGGTGTGAATATATATATTGTTTATCAATTGTCATCACATTTAAATTGTTTATTTTATTTGCAATGTATTTTTAAAAAAATAAAATAAAATAAATAGTATATAAAGTGCATTTTGAATATTAGTGAAAATATATATATATTTTAAAATTTATTATTATTTTTTTCTAATTAATTATGATCTAAATAAAATTTTGGGAAAAATTTGTGTGACAATCCTAATACGATATATAATAGTAATAATAATTTATTTATTTAAAAAATAAATAAATAAATAATTTAAATGTTGATCACACGGTATAATCTATTTTTGTTTATAAATATTAAATTTTATTTATTTATTTATATCAATTCAATTGATAGATAATAAAAATAAAACAAATAAAATTTGATGTCATTTTACTACAATATACATATGTATATTGAGAGTACTATTTTTTATTTTATTTTATTTATTTATTTGCGATATAATTATGTAATAGTAAAGTGATTTCATTAACTAACTAATAATAATAATAATAATACTAAAAAAAAGGTTGTCATTAAATGATTAGATTTAAATAGCGAAACAATAAAAATAAAATATAAGTAAATATTTAATTTATAAAAAAAAAATTATATATAACTTTGTATTTAAACGATTTTTTTGTTGTTGTTATTATTATAAACGATTAATTTTATTGGCAATTATTTATGATCTAATATTATATATATAATTGTATAATGATTATCTAATTTATGATATTTTATTTTTAACGTTATATTTATTGAAATACAACTTAATTTGTTTGGATAGTTTTGAAAATAATAAATTTTATATATATAAATAAATTTTATTTTAATATCTATTATTATTATTATTTTTCTATTAAACAAATTGATTTATATTTTAGTATATAAATTTAGAAATTTCTATTAAATTTTAAATTTCAATCAAACAACAAAATAACATTTAATAATTTATTGATTAATAATTTAAATTAGTATTATAAATTATATATATATATATATATATAATAGCAACTAAAATAATAAATCAATTGATAAATTTGTTTGTTATTTTTAAATAACAGTAATATTGCTATAATTGATTAGCAATAAAATAATAAAAAAATTGTTGATAATATTGTTGATAATGTATTTTATTTTCAATAACAAAATAATAATAATAAAATAAATTCAAATCCTATCAATAAATTTATTTAAAAAATAAAACTAATGTCCCATAAGAGAGGACAGTTAGTTAGTTAGTTAGTTAATCAGTCAGTCAGTCAAACACACATACAAACATTGGAGGCCAATGACTGGTAAAAACCTAAACTAATAAAAAGTTTTTTTTTCAGAGAAAACTAACCAAAAAAAAAAATAAATAAATTGATCGACAAATAGGATAACAAATTAGTTAGAAAAATATATTATTAAAGTTTTCAAACAATTTTTAAATTATTAAGCTATAGTTTATGTGACATAAAACACACATACATATTGGGGGTGGGAGTTGAGGTGGGGGTGGGATGGGATGGAAAGAGAGATATCTATTATCTAAAATAATTAATGATCTGATCCTATATACTGTATAATAAAAATATACAGTACTTTCATAAACAGATAGTATAGATATGGATAGTCAGTAGAGAGCGAAAAGTTTCGGACCCGTACCTGACCCGTACCTGATCTGATACCTAAAATCTCGGACTCGGACCTGACCTAACATAGGGTACAAATTTACCTGATATGTAGGTCCGAAAATAATTTTATCAAAAAACAATTTTATTTATTCTATACCCGCAACAAATTTCTCTAAATTAACTTTAATTACTCGGGATTAACGATAACTGATTGTAGATCTAACTTAGATTCTAATAAAGTTAATATGTTATTATTTATTAGATCAAAACCATCATCTTTTGTAATATTTTATGTTTAATTTATACAACTATTTTATAAATAATAATTTAATAAATTTTGTGTTTGATTGTCATATTTTGTAATAATTGTCGTTTAAATAATGAATAAAAAAATTTCGGACCTGGACCAAAAATTTTTGGTGTTCGGAGACCTGACCTGAGCCCTAACTTTTACATCACCTGAAAAATCAGGTCAGTTTTCAGTCTCTAATAGTCAGTCATCAGCAGCAGTGGATATCAATYAATACAGTTAACAGACAACTTGTCGGTGTTGTTGGGAACAGTTAGCTAAAAAAAAAAAAAAAATTTAACCAGATATACAAACACTTGCTTATTGGTATCTCCTATTTTAAACATAATTTATATGTACAGTATATATATTGTATATATAACACATTTGAGGCTTACAATAGCTTAGCTAGCTAAAAAAAATAAWAATAAAGCTAACAGTGCGTGAAAAAAAGTTACATTTGAAACAGTTGGGTTGAAAATATATGTACCCAATGGTTGATTATGGGAGGGGAGGGGATAGATAAATATATTATATATATATATATATATATCATACATTGTGCACACCATACATACCAAACTTGATATACATATATATAATAAAACTGTATATTTTGTAGATAATCTCAATATAATTTACAGTACTGTATATGTAAGGCGCCTATTGATATTACTTGCCTGTATAGCTCTCTCTCTCACTATAGCATTGACTGTTTGATTATTGTCCGATAGTATTATATAGACTACCAGTGCTGCTGCCAGTAGTAGTATTAGTAGTACTGTATTAATACATATCATCTCAAAAATGTATATATAAATTGAGAGCCAATGAGATTGAAATGAATTCAAAATTAAAGTCTCAATAAAGCGCTTAACGTATACACAGATATAGTCAGTCATAGACAGAGAGAGTGTAATAGCATTGATAGGCATTGACTGCTGAATAACACCACAACTGTTGTCTTCACAGACCATCATCGCTGGCCATCCATCCATCCATCGGAAACAAACTGTTGTAATCACATCCAAACACACACATTGATCACTACTACCATCACTATTACCATCACCGCTAGCGAAGATGATGATGGAAGACTTTGAAAAGATCGAGAAGATAGGCGAAGGTATTGTATTTATTATCTACTATATTATGTTGTTGGATGTGATTAACCCCTCCATTGTCACGGGAGGGGTAGGTGTAGGGGTGATTGACCACCAAAGTGTATTAACTGATCCGCGCACACACACACACACTACAGTTTGATATGATATATTGATTATATCTTATTTACCATTCATTTACTTCACACACTCTCTCTCTCTCTCGCGACTCTTAGGCACCTATGGTGTGGTATATAAGGCCCGAAACAAAAAGACCAACCAATTGGCTGCACTGAAGAAGATACGTCTGGAAAATGAAGACGAAGGCGTGCCGTCGACAGCCATCCGTGAGATTACTTTACTTAAAGAGCTGATGCATCCAAATGTTGTTCGGTATGTGTGTCTGTTTGTCTGTCGATCTCTTCATTCAGTAGCACTTCATTGTATTGTATTTGGTTTATGTCTTTGTCTTACATTGTCTTACATCAATTGGTTGACACCACCAACAGTCTAGAGGACGTCATAATGCAAGAAAACAAACTCTATCTGGTGTTCGAGTTTTTGTCGATGGATCTCAAGAAGTACTTGGATTCGCTGCCAACCAATCAACTGGTGGACGAAAAGCTGGTCAAAGTTAGTAGTGTTGTTCATCGACCGATTCATTTGATGACCAATTGATTAATTAGATTACCGATTAATTTGTGTGTGTCTTATAATCTCTTGCAGAGCTATTTGTATCAAATACTTGAGGCGATGGTCTTCTGTCACTCGCGACGAGTCATTCACAGAGATCTGAAGCCACAGAATCTGTTGCTCGATTCGAAAGGTACGATCAAATTGGCCGACTTTGGTCTGGCCCGTGCCTTTGGCATACCCGTACGTGTCTATACGCACGAAGTGGTTACACTATGGTATCGGGCACCGGAGGTATTACTTGGCGGCCAACGATATTCAACACCTGTGGATATCTGGAGTATTGGTTGTATATTTGCCGAAATGGCCAACAAAAACCCACTGTTTCACGGCGACAGCGAAATCGATCAATTGTTTCGCATATTTCGGTAATTAAAAAATATATATATATTATCACTTGACATATTGTATGATTGATTTCAATAGTAATCTAACGGTAAAATGTTTATTTTTTGTTGTGTTTTAAAGGACAATGGGTACGCCCAATGAGGAAACCTGGCCGGGAGTGACCACATTGCCCGACTATAAGCCAACATTTCCGTTCTGGAAGGACAATATCGTACCGTCATTGTTGCCCAATACACAACAGTCGGGCATTGAATTACTTCAGGTAATACTAATATTATCGGTAGTCCCGTAAAATAGTTGTTAATTTTGATTTTTGTTTGTTTGTTATATATATATAAATGTATAGTCAATGTTGATCTATGATCCGCACCGGCGGGTGTCGGCCAAAGCATCGCTACTGCATCCGTATTTCAACGACCTGGACAAGTCTATACTGCCGTCGGCATCGTTGGTCAATTATAATTTATTTTAATAACCACCTATTTATCTATCTCTACTATATATAAGCTAACCGGTACTTCCAACAGTGTGTGTATGTGTGTGTATATACAATATATATAATACGGTAATACATATATCCATAATATTATTATTATTATTATTATCGAAACATTTATTTTGGTCACATTTTTATAACATATTGCGCGAAACATATCAGTATTATAATTAGAGGCAATATTATTATCACACAATTTTATCACTCAATATATTAATTTTTTTGGGTTTCATTTATTATTATTATTATTATTTTTGTTATTTTGATAAAAAAAACACAATAACACATATTTGATATTTTTCATTATATAAAATAATATATTATAAATGTTTTTTTTTAAAATCAAATTTTTCTATCCACAGGTATTGAATTATTTTTGAAAGTTTTTTATATAATACCTGTAATATTATATCAATAGGTAAAATTGAAACAATTAATATTTTTGTTTGCCACTATAAAAAAAACTACTTAAAAAAAAGATAATGTAATTATTAATATACAAACAAAACACCAAAAAAAAAGATAATTGAATTATTAATCCGTTTTTTGTGTACAGAATTGGAAAAAAACAAATTTGTATTTTTTTATTACTTAAAATATTATTATTATTATATTCATATACACATTAAAACAATTGGTAATATTTTATATATATATATATATTTTATTTTTGTATTTAACTGTCATTGTGTGTGTGTGTGTTATGTGGAAATTTATTTAATTATAATTATTATAATAATTTAACAGCAATTACTCTTTCAGCAAAAAAAACATTGTTAATTAAACAATATATATATATATATATTTATAAATTTATATTATATAGGTATATATATATATAACAATTGCACAAAATAATACGGCTATTATTGTACTGTATTTACGTAATATATATATCTAAAGTTTATGGTAACCCACCCCCTCCCCCATTGTCTATTGATTTTTAAAAAAAAAATGTTTGTTAAGATTTTAAACTAATTGAAACATACAAACAAATAATACCTAACAAATAAAAATCACTTTTATATATAATTTTTTTGTTTTTTTTAAAAAAAACGTTTTGAAAGACTTGTAGATCATATATATATATATATATATATTTTTTTTATAAATAGGTATATAAAGGGTAACATATAAACTAATTTATATTTTTGTTATAACATAATAATAATAACAATTTAAAAAACAATAATTACAGGTAATTAATAATAATTTAACAATAATTAAAAATTATATATATATATATATGTTTGGTCCTCTCAATTAGCGCCCACCACTCGCCCATCATTTTGAGCGGCACCATTACCAGCGCCTCCTCCTMCTCCTCCTCCACCACCGGCTCTCTGCAGGAAACTCAAGATTCGCAACACTTCGGGATTATTGAGATCAATGTCACCGCCAGTCCCACCACCACCACCACCACCGATGGTGGGCACCTGTCTATAGCCAAAATAATCGCCCGGAGCCATCGCCTGTTGTTGTTGTTGCGGGTCGACCGCCGCCATCATAATGTCCTCATTGTCGGCGACGATGGGCTGCAATTTAAAATCCAAACGCCCGGCTTCGTTCGGTCGGCCATTGTTGACGATTACAGTTTGCGCGTCCGGTTCGTAGCCATCTTTGACGGCCAGCACCTCATAGGTGCCCGGCGTCAGCAGTCGCCAGTATTCGCCGTTTTGAACTAAAAAACATTTTTAGAAAAAATTACCGGTAAGTGTTTCGGTAAACTATAATTTCAATTGATTATATATATATATACGGGTAAAGACTACTACCGCACTGGTGGGGTGGGGGGGTACTAACCAGATAGGATGTCATGAGTGATAAGTTTGTTGACACCGTTGGTCACGTTTTTCACTTTAACTGTTGCGCCCACTACTGGCTCACCGGTTCTGGCATTGACTATCACTCCTTTGATACCCAAATGTGACTAAAAAATTGTGTTTTTTGTTTGAAGACAACAATTAAATGATTAGTTGGTTACACCTATTATTACAGTACAGTACAGGTAATACCTGTTGTATATATTTGATAAGCGCTTCCCGATTGTTGTCCCATTCGGCTGGCAATTGTCCCGCCGGCGGATACTTATTGCAACCTAATTCCAGTGTTATCTCAAAATCATTGCTGGCCAGATAGTTAAAGTCTTGCATACCGCCCGATACACTGTACCAGGCGGCACCGTTGGTTATGCCTCCCTGTTTGGTAAAGTCGTCGTCATTGTCGCACCGGATCTTCTCGCCGGTTGTCATAGTCTTGTGGGTCAATGCATAGACATTTGCCAAATATCTGGTTAATAATTAGTCAAAATTTATAGTAGCTATCGATTAAAACCGGTAATCCTGGATAATACCCGCTAAACCGGTAATCGGGTTTATTTGGTGTTTATATACAGTATATATATATATATATATATAATACCTAAATGTCTGGTCGTCTGGCGAAGCCGTATAGGAACTGGCGCTTCCGTCTTGACTTTCATCGTAGGGATAGTTAGCTACGAGAGCGCCGCCGTGAAGGTTGGCCGACAAGACAAACGGATTGTTTAGTATCCATTGCATGGCTGCCCGGGTTTCGGGCTGTAGACTATGATCGACGACATCCGGCGAAAAAACATTACCCGTTTGGCTACGATCTTCGTAGACAATAACATCCAGATCGGGAAAATCGCGATTAATGTCGACACCGTTTTTGTTCGATCGGCCCAACAGCCAGTCGCGGCCTTTCATGTCGTTATTGGTCGACAGGTCCCAGCCGTCCGGATTCAGTGACGGCATCAGATGTATGCGAGTAGTGTTCAACAAGTGTTGAATGATTTCGTTACCATTACTGTATTCATCGCACAAATAATGGGCTAATTTCAGTAACAGTTCCCGACCCAGGACTTCGTTTCCGTGCATATTAGCCACATATTTGAACTCCGGTTCCACTAAATACGCCCCAAAAAAAATATATATTAAATTTTTTTTAAACCAATGACCAGAATCTCGGGGAGGGGGGGATAGAGAAAATCACTTACAAAATTCATGTCGGCCGGGATTATCCGATAGCTCGATGACTGTTAGCGGCCAACCGCCGACACTGCGCTCCTTGAGTTCGTACAGTCTGGTTATATGTGGACACCGTCGGTGTACAGCTTGTAGTAAATCGTTTAGTTCCTGATTGTTATGGTGTTTGAACACGTAATCGTCTGAACACTCGGTATGGCTTATAAACAATGATAGGTAGCTGATGGTGATGAACACCAATAGGGTAGCGGCGGCACCGGGAGTTGACATAATTAACTTAATATATGTTTATATGTGACCGAAAAAAAATAACAGGTATTTTATATTTAAATACCAATTATATATATACAATATGTCTGTCCAGTACTGTATGTCTGTCAGTTGAGTCGTAACACTACCACCACATCCCTTACCATCACTACTATACTGTTACTACGTGTATGGCTATCGATCGATAGATACCTTTCCCTCCTATTGACGTAAAAGATATATATATATATATATATATATACAGTATATATAAAATATCGCTTCTGCGTCCTATTCCTCGTATATATATTCCTATATATATCTTATAAGTGGTAATATAACTAAATAAAAACTAAATTATTATGAAAAACAAACCATAAAAATCAATACTACTCTACGGTATATATATATATATAAAACTAAACAACTGAGCGATGAGAACAATGATCTGCTTATATACAGCTGTATAGATGAACGGGTCGTTTGACTTTACAATAGATTTTTTTTCAACAAAAATGAAATGGTTTTCAATTTCACATTTCAATAAATTTCTGATATTTTTTTTATATATGTACCGGTAATTTATATTATAATATTTAAATTTATATAAAAAAATAAAATAAAAATTATAATAATTTATATCCAGCGATAGTATTACTGGTATTAAATAGTATATACTATTTAATACCAGTAATATTACAAGTATTAAAATAGGATATAATTTCACGTAAATTGCAATAATAATAATAATCAAAAAATATTTAAAAAATAATATTTAAATAATTAAAACTATAAATAAATAGACAATAAATTGTTTTATCATTTCAAATTATAATTTTTTACTATAATTTTAATTATTTCCAAAAAAAACATCACAATATTAGTTGCTTTTTTTAATCAACCCTCCCTCCCCCCAACACAACACAAAAAATTGGTTATCAATTAAAATTAGTTATCATTATTTAGTTAGTTAGTTAGGAGGTGTATGTTTGTATACTGTAGTATATTCATAAATATAATAATTTCATATCAATAATAATAATAATACAATGATTTTTACAATAGAGAGAGAGAGAGAATATGTTAATTATATTATATATATTAAATTGTATATATATTATATATTGTATAATTTTTTTAAAATGTAAATTTATGTATATATATATATATATATATTTATATAATGTATATAGATGATTTTTTGTTTGTTTGTTTTAGTTAGATTTGTTTTTTTTATAAAATAAATGCTTCTCTATATTATGAAATGAATGGTCCGGTTTGTTGTTGAAACATATCATCATATCAGTGGACATATATCCTACACTTCTATCCCTCTTTCAATACAGTGGTAGTGGTAGTAGTAATGGTAGTATATGTGATATCCATCCATCCATCCATTACATCCCCGCAAAAATTTTTTTTTGTTTAATGCCATTTAGCCTTCTGGGCAAAGATATCTGCCCTCAAGTTTTGCGCAAAACAAATGCCCAAAATCTTTAGCAAACAAAACAATTGGTAAATGAAAAACATTAATAAATTATTTATATATAAAAAAATATCATACGGTATATGTTTTTTTTGTTGTTAGAAAATACATATAATAATAATACTAAAAACATATTCAAGTGTTTATACAATCTGTTATTTTTATGATTATTGTTTTTTGTTTTGTTTGAGGATTTGCTTAATTTATTAAATGACAAATTTTTTAAAAAAAATATTTAAGTCTAATATGTATAATGGCTTACTTGAGTGAAAGACAAGCCTAACATAAATAGCAAAACACTTAATAGATTTCGTTGGAACCATTCTTCGGCAGCCATCAGACATCCGATTTCATAGACATTGGTTTTGCTATATTTCTATACATCGTATATATATATATATATATATACAGTATATAATTTATATATATAAATTGTATACATATATTGGTAAAAAATTTCAATGATTTAACACTTAATTTATCGGACAATTAAAATAATTTAGTAGACATTAGTTTCGTAATTGAAAATATTATTATTACCGGTAATATTGAAATAGTTATCCAATTAATTGAATAAATAAATAACTAAATAAATGTTTGTTTGTTTGTGTTAGCAAATCCCCCAACAAATTAATTACCGTAATTAATATGATATTATTAAAGACATGCCATGGATCTACTACTACTACTACAACAGTTTTAAAAAACAACTACTATACCTGAAGTACAGCAATGACAACAGTAAAACCCGCCACCGGAACCAAATTAGATTCAATCCATTCCTCACCAGCCCTTAGGCATCCCTTTTCATAGATTATTAGAGACTTATCACCGACCTATCAGTCCCATACCATCCCATCAGTTGGTTAGTAATCAATAAAAATAGTAGTGAAAGGATCAGTCATCAGTGGGGTTGGTTAGCAAAAAAGTAAACAATTATACCAGTAGTATATTAGGATTAGTTTTAGTGGGGGGCGGGGTGGGAGGGAGGGAGGGAAATACATGTGAAAAAATCAGGGGGCCTTTTTTGGTGGTAAAAGTGCTTACAAATTCGTGTTTGCGGACATCATAGCCGCACTGTTTATTGCGTATGACTTCGTTGGGCACCGGGCGACAACATGAAAACGGGACACCGCAAGCTTCGCGACTGCCGACGGCAGCGCTCGAACAATTAAAATAAATGTTTTGGTCCCAGTCTTTCGGGCCGTCGACACCGCAACAGCCGAGCCACTGGTCCTGGACCCAGTCGACAAGATTCTGGCGATCGGGATCGTCCCGATAGTAGACTATGAAGGCCTGGAAGCCGGTGGCCGCTTGTGTTTTAATCTATAATAATTTGATTGATTGAAAATAAATAGTTTATATATATATTTAAAACAACAAACAAAAAACTAATCAATAATTTTTACCCAATCTTTAAAAATAAATCCAAGTATTCCTGTGGTTAACTCCAACAGCAATAAAATGGCCAAAAATATTGCATACTTTAATAGAGGGGAAAAAATAATGAAAAATTATTTATCAATTAAGATATCAATTATTATTATTATTATTTTTTGGTAAAATAATTAATGAATCCATACTCCGGCCAGAAGACAGGTATTTTCGCGGAGGGCACCGACACAGCCGGTAAAACCAATGGTAAAGGCCAGACAGCCGACACAGATCATGATGAAGGCCGGATCCAATGCAATGTTGGTTATACGGGTCAGATTGTTGAACACCTCCTTCTCAGTCCACGCCCACACACCGACCACACAGACTAGTAGTCCGGTTAACCAGAAGATGACATTCGAACCGAATATCAAATACTTGAGACAACAGCTGATCTCCGATTCCGAGTCACTGCCGCCGCCGATACCGCGATGTCTGTCGATGTGGTGTCGATCGTGTCTTCTATCGCGATTAGATCTGCTATTGTGATGATTACTATTACTACTACTACTGTTGTGATGTCGACTACTGGACGACGACGACGCAGCAGCCAATGCTGCCGAAGATGACATCGACGACCTATGAGGCGACATATTTTTGTTGTTGTTTGGCCACTACGGTAATTGCACGATAACTTCAAACCTCTCAACACTAATGGGAACCGTTAAAGTGATTACACCCTACGGTAAATATAATTTGGCTAAGAAATTGGGTACTAAAATGAAGAGATTAAACGGAAAAAACGGCGGATCTCTTCGTCAAAATCCCATCGTTTCATTGATTGTCTTCATATTAGTTGCTACTGTTGTTATTGTTGTCCTCGTCATCATTATCTTCATGATAGCCATCATCTTCATCATCAGCGAAATGAAACTAATGGTCTTTTCATTTCGATGGCAATCATCATGACTTCGATGGCGACTTCGGATTCAATTCAAACGATTACTTCTTTGAATACTTTGGCTTCAAATATCAGTCACGCCTTTCAGTGTGTTTACACAAATTATGGCTTCCTTTGACTTCTTCTTAGTATTTCATCTGTGGATCACTTTCTTCCTCTCTCTCTCTCTCTCTTTGACTCTCTCTCTCTCTCTCTCTCTTTGACTCTCTCTCTCTCTCTCTCTCTCTCACTCACTGTTTGATGACTCACTCAATGGCAATGTTTTTGAAGTATATCTTGAGATCTGATCCAACAATTTATTTATTTAATTAATTAATTAATTGAGTCATCAAAACAACAACAGATGTAAATGATATGAAGATATCCATCAATTGATTGATTGATTGATTCAATCATTTTTATTGTTGTTTTGTTTATTCATTCATTCATTCAGTCAATCAATGTTTACGTTGTGTTTAAATAATAACAAAACATACGATAAAAATATTCTGTCACTCAATGAGTCGCCCAATACAGTCGACACCCCCCACACACACACACATAAATACAATACAAGATCATCATTGTATTAGTTAGGGGTGGGGGTGGGGTGGGTAGGGATAAAATTTTAATAATTTATTAGAAATTAAATTTAATTATTATTATTTAATAGTATTTTTTAAGGATTAATTTTAATTAAAATTAATACACGGGGGGATCAAATTGTATTTATATTATAATAGTGGCTAACATTGATGTATAGTTTACTGTACTGTATATTATTCTCCATACAAACAATGTATTTTAAAATTTGACTCTAAATATCATATAATATAATATAATATAATATAATACATAATACTCTATATATGTATTAGTATTGTATTGACTATACTATTGTGTTAGTAATAATAATTAAATTACTTAATAATATTAGTTTTATTTGATACCAATATAATACTATATATAAAAGTATATATATATATTATTTTTAAACTTTAATTATTTACTTAAAAATTTTAAACTAATTTAATTATATATATATATATAATAAATATTTTTATTAATTAAACAAAAATATATATTTTTTTAAATTTATTATTTAATTAATTCAATTAATATTCTGGTATTATATATATAATATTAAGTTATTTTTTGTGTGTAGAAAATATTTTTATAGTATATTATATTATAAATAGCTATTATGTAAATATATACAATATATATGTACAAAATATTTTGTTTATAAATTAAATTTTGTTTTAATTAATTAAATTAGTTTATATAATATATATATAATAAAACTTTTGAACCATAAATATGTTATTTTGCAAACAATTAATTTTGTTGTGACATTTGATTTTAATTAGAAAAATAATTTATTATAAAATATAATGTATTTTTATATATAAATTGTTTAATAATAAGTTTTCTATTGATATATAATAACATATATATAATTTTTTTATACAATAATTATTATTTATATCTATAAAATTGGAGACAAATTATATAAAATATTTCATAACATATATATATATATATATATATATATATATATATATTTATTTGTTAACTAAATATTTTACAACAAATTGAAACCAATTTTGTTTTAAAAATGTTAAAAAACATTAGTTTCGCTCATAATTATTATCAGTAATAGTAATTAAGTTATTCAAAACACTAAATATTAGTTGTATATATACACACAGTATATCAAATAATTTTACAAATTGTTAGTATCATTATTGTTATATTATATCAAATATTTACATTATATATATATATATATATATACAGTATATTTGTTTTGTCGAAAAAAATCAATTTTAATAATTAACAAAAAAGCAAATTATTTGAAATAAAAACAATTATCTCTAAATGTTTTAGAGTTATACCAAATAGACTGGGTGTGGATTATTTAACTTATTATATATATATATATAAATATATAGTATATATATATATATATATATATATATACTTATATATATAATATCTGATCTGTTTAATTAACTTTTTTTTGTGGGCATATTTTGCTGGTTAGTCACCGATTGTATTAATTATAAAGCAATTAAATAATAATAATAATAATACAAAAATAATTAATACATAGCATGATATTGACTTTTATTATTTCAGTAAAATTAAACGATTAGATCAGCGATTGCCTAAAAAAAATAATTTTTAGATACTCTCTCTCTCTCCTAACAAATTGAATGTCAAATAAATTTTTAAGTGAAATACAAAAAAAAATTATTATTATTATTAAATTAAAAATAATAGATATAATTAAATATATATATATAAATTTATATAATCACAACTAATGCTTGAAAAAAATTGTTTTTAAAACAATAATGACCAAATAATAATGATAAATTACTTTTATTAACTAAAATTATTATTATTATTATCAATATATTATTTTTAAATAAACAATCTTAATTAAATTTGGTCAAAATTATAGACTATAAAATAATATTTAATTTTGACATGTGTCAATATAGCAAATTTATTTTACAAAATTTTAAATAAATTTATTACAAATATTTTTAAAATAAATTGATTACAAATAATTTCATACAAAACATTAAAAAAATGTATTAAATTTTATTATTGATATTATTATTAGTATTATTATTATTTATTGTAGATCTTTATCTAATTACAAGATATTTAAATATATATTATTTTTTATGAAATATTAATGTTTTTTTAGCGATAAAATGGGAACAAAGTATTACTGAAATAATGATTTATTACTTAATTTTTTTTATTATAAATGATTTAAAAATTATATTTTTAAAAATAATTTTGACACACTGATGAAACCTCTAATTTTTTTATATATATACAATATATATATWTATTATTCATAAATATTTTTTATTATTTTTTATGTGTGTGTGTGTGTGGAAAACAAAACAAAAATAAATTATATTATGTTATTTACACTGTATTTTTTTAAACAAAAAAAAATTAAATAAACAAAAAATTATATGTTATAAAATATTGAGAAATAGTTATATATATATATATTATTTAAGTTGTGAAAAACATACTAATAAATTTCTAGATTTATTTATTTTTATATTTATTTTTTGTTATTATTATTAGTTTTATTGAAAGTTGAAAACTTTTTTTTAATCTAATTTACAACTTAACAAAATTTTCAAAAAAAATAAATATTTTTAGTACTCATACATAGTGTTTTGATGATGATATATAATTTATATATGCAATAATTTTTATTTTTAAAAAAAATATAAAAACATAAAGTTATGTTAAAATGTGTGTATGTATTAAATAGATAAATATAATATAATAGTAAGTTAGGTATGTTCAACCCCCCTCCATCATAATCATCAATAATAATAATAATAACCAGGGTCACATAAATTGTTTGATGTTAACCTTTAATTATCTATTGCTAATATAATTATCAATCCATGGTCTCTCTCTCTCTCTCTCTCTCTCTCTCTCTCTAAACATTTGTAATTGTAAATTTATAGGTATATTATATTAATATACAATACCAGTATTAATACTACATTGAAATTGTTAAAAAACTTGATCATCACATTTAGTATTATTATTATTATTATTATTATCAAATTAAATTGAATGAATAAATGCTATGCTATGTTATGTCATACATATAATAATAATAAGCATTTTTTTTATTTAGATATGAATTACTTTTTTATATATTTATAAATATATTTTTGAATTCAAACAACAGTCTGGCCTTCAATTGAAACGTTCAATTAGTTTTGAGAAAGTGACTAAAAAAAGTTATATATAAATATATATAGATATACAGTATATTATATAAATATATAAAATACTTGTATATATAATAAATGCATATTTTGAAAACATACTATAATTATACGCTAAGTTTAGTTTTATTATTTAATTTATAATAAATAATTTTTTTTATTGCCCACAAACTATTAGACCAATCAATTCATATTTTGATTTAAAATTATTTTTTATTTATTGATTATATGTTATATTACTATATATTACAAATCAATATACAGGTATTATTTATATAACATTGAATTATTAAATCCTTTTTATTTTAATTTTTATTGTTTAGTTGTTGTTGTTGTTGTTGTTGTTGTTGTTGTTATGTTAACTAATCGTTTTAAAATTAAAATTGATATATTTATGAATATATTTTTTCACTTTAAAAAWATATATATAAATCTAACATCAATTCAAGGCTTTAACGGCCAAAATGTTTTTGAACAGCTGTTTAGGGAAAAAATATGATAAAATATTTTTGTTGTGAATATATTTTTAGAGTAAATTTTTCCAACTAAATGAAAAAAGTTATTTTTTGAAAATTAATGATAGATTTTAATCATATTTAAAAATCTATTTATTTTTCCATAATAATAAACATTAGTTTTTTAGGTATTAGATGAGATTTCAATGTTAAGTTATTTTTTTACAGAAAAAATATAAAAATAATTTATTTTTTTAAAAAAATAAACGTAATGTACAACATGTGCATGCTAAGTTATCTATAAAAAAACTAAAATGTTGTTTTTTCCAAATAAATATATTTATATTCTAAGTAATTTATCTTGATGATTACGTGAAATTAATGTAATAGTTGCAAATGTAATCAATTTATATAAATATTAATAAATAATAGTGTAATTAATCTAAATTATTTATATAATAATAATTATTATTTAATTTTACAAAAAATAAATAAATAAATAATATTTAACCTATATTTATATATTTGTTGTATGTCAATTTTTATCTAAAAAAATTTTTTTTAGTTAAATATAAGCATAATAATAATAATATACTAATTAAAATAATTAATTTTTAGTGCAATATTTAAATATAAAATATATTTATTATATTATACAATACTGTATTTCCACTATTATTATTATACAATGTATTAATTAATAGACATGTATGCAGTAATAAAATAATAATAATAATAACTATTTTTGAAGATAACAACAAAAATTAAGTTTAAATCCATTAACATATATATATTATATATATATATATATTTAAAAAACGCAATATTTGTTATAATGATTGCATAAAAGTTTTTGCAAATAAATATATTATCATTATTATTATTACACTATTATATTATTAATTTGACCGGATTATGCTTTACAGTTGACTTAAGCCATACAATACCTGTGCCATACAATAATAATAATATCTATATATGTTTTATAGAGACAATACCTGTGCCATACTATACACTATAACTGCATTAGACATATATACAGTACACATACAAAAACATTACCTGTATTTTCATAACCAAATTCACAGACATTTAGCAAAAGTCAACAATTTTTTTAAAAAATAAATAAATATTTTTTTACGTAATATTTAGTAATATTGAGTTTATGATTTGCACAAAATAATAATAATAATTTTTAAAGTGTATTATAAGTATGATATACCAAAAAAATATAATAAT